GTATAAAACTTGGTATTACAAGCACTTCTTGTATCTGTTTGCCTCTTTAAGAAGAATCGCTTTATGTATCCCCCAATTGTAAGTCGCTTTGGATTAAAGCGTCTGCAAAATGACAAATGTAAATGTGTCCAAAGCAGTGAAAAATTTAGTTCAGAGGCCCGATGTAGTTATTCATTTGCATCCAAAGCACAGGAGCTGTGAATAATTAGACTAACAAGTATCTTAAAGTAACTAGATAAAGTTCAGTCAGTGAAGGAATAAAGCCTTTGAAATTGCTGAAAACAATTTAATAAGATAAGAGCTGATAGTTAAATACATCGCTAAGCACGGCTCAGTGGGAATGTTTGATGGGATAGAGAAGGTGGATGACCTTTACGAGTGGGCTATGTTTCAATTAAAAAATTGTCCCAAATGCCTAAAAACAAAGAGGGAAAAGTTGCTAAAGCACTTCAAGCTCCTTTTGCCTCATACAAGGTAACTAAGAAAAGGTTAGAGGAAATGATAACAAGTTGCTAAATTCTCAAGTCAGCGACTATTTCATGTCATTGAGAAATTGCAAGTCCATAAATCGGTGCTCTTTAGATGCAGGATTTCTTAATGTTTGATGGGATAGAGAAGGTGGATGACCTTTACGAGTGGGCTATGTTTCAATTAAAAAATTGTCCCAAATGCCTAAAAACAAAGAGGGAAAAGTTGCTAAAGCACTTCAAGCTCCTTTTGCCTCATAGAGGCGTTAGAGGAAATGATAACAAGTTGCTAAATTCTCAAGTCAGCGACTATTTCATGTCATTGAGAAATTGCAAGTCCATAAATCGGTGCTCTTTAGATGCAGGATTTCTTGATCAAAAAAACTCATATCACCAAGGCACTCGAAAATGTAGTGAAAAATAAAAAGCCTTTATTCACATGACTTAACACTTATGTAGTGTTCTGGGTCAATTTGACCGGATTTGATTTTTGAGTTGTCGGAAATATCAGTTAACTTAGGTTTTGTTTTGTTTTTTTTGTGACTTTTTCTCATTTAGGGTCATGAACATGCATGCAAAGTTTCAACATGCTGATGTGTTTTGACATGTCCATAAACATTTTTTGTTACGTTCATACTGTTCCCGGGTCAAACTGGTCTGCCTATTTTAATGCTCTGAGGCAACTCTACAGACCCAAAATAATAACATTTCTTGGTTATATTTTGTCATTTTAGTTTTTTACTATCCTATTATGCAAAAAAAATTAGCTTTTCCCCACTTATTTCAATACAGAAAAATATTTTGTCTGCCAAAGATGGTAAAAATGAGCTATCATTTCTTTCATCATTTCAATCTATCTGAAATACTATTAAACCTGTGTTGTTTTTCTTGAAATTGTGACTCTCTCATTTAGGGTCATGAACATGCATACACAGTTTCAACACGCTGATGCATTGTGACATGTACATACAGAAATTTGTATACGTTTGTGATGTTCACGGGTCAATTTGACCCGCATAGGCAGCCATTCAAACGCAACTGTACAGACACAAAATAACAACAAACTCCTTTGTTGCATGTCAACTCTAGTCCTGAAGTGCCTCCTAGTGCCAGCGTCTTGATGAATTTAACAACTTTTGATTTTCAAAGTTTGTGAAAACAAAATGGTTTAACCTTTTAACTGCAATTCCCATCTTTTGAGCATAGACAAATTACTTTTCCAGCTAAAATTTTTTATAACTCTTGAATACTTCAGAGCACAGACTTAAGTTTGGTATCTTTTTAAAGGTGAAACTTCACAGATTATTGTAGAAGTTATAACAGAAAAAAAACAACAGAAGAAAAACATTTATAAAAGTAAATTTATAAAAAGTTACAGAAGTTTAAATTTATGAAAATGTAAAATATAAAAATATATATTTTCAAAACATGTTTACCTCCAGATCTTTAAGAAAATCAAAGCCAAATATCAGAACAAGTTTTGTGCCAAATTTTAGATTGATATCTCAAAAAATGAACTTTTAAGTAAGAGTTTGTGGGCACAGTACCAAACATTTCCACTAGATGATATCCAGGGACTCCTGATTTCCATTTATTGTTTGAGTGATCTGAACCACATATTTCCATCATTTTCAAAATATTTATGAAGTAGACAACCTATTCAGAAATAGATTGGGTAGTAACTTTAATATTTGATTTGAATTCAATCTCTAATACACATAAATCATACATATAGAACAAGAGTGTGTTTGGCACCACATCAAAAATGGAGAATCAATCTCTATTTATCTATTGCTCTCTCATTTCTTTGAAAAACAGTCACCAAATATGAAAACTAGAGTCTGAAACCTTTCAAACGATACATAGTTTGTCAAGATTACTTTAGATTTAGACCAAGATATTATCGTCAAAAAAAGTGTAATCTCAAACATTCCACAGGTGTGGGGGAGGGGCAGTCAAAAATAGTGGTTAAAAACATTTTTATAAATCATAAATTCAGAGATTTATTCTTTGTAACGTGTGAAAAGTTGATATTAAAAGTTAATTAATTGTACTTTTTTTTGGTATGTTTTTGGATCTAAGCACGGCTCAGTGGGAATGTTTGATGGGATAGAGAAGGTGGATGACCTTTACGAGTGGGCTATGTTTCAATTAAAAAATTGTCCCAAATGCCTAAAAACAAAGAGGGAAAAGTTGCTAAAGCACTTCAAGCTCCTTTTGCCTCATAGAGGCGTTAGAGGAAATGATAACAAGTTGCTAAATTCTCAAGTCAGCGACTATTTCATGTCATTGAGAAATTGCAAGTCCATAAATCGGTGCTCTTTAGATGCAGGATTTCTTAATCAAAAAAACTCATATCACCAAGGCACTCGAAAATGTAGTGAAAAATAAAAAGCCTTTATTCACATGACTTATGTAGTGTTCTGGGTCAATTTGACCGGATTTGATTTTTGAGTTGTCGGAAATATCAGTTAACTTAGGTTTTGTTTTGTTTTTTTTGTGACTTTTTCTCATTTAGGGTCATGAACATGCATGCAAAGTTTCAACATGCTGATGTGTTTTGACATGTCCATAAACATTTTTTGTTACGTTCATACTGTTCCCGGGTCAAACTGGTCTGCCTATTTTAATGCTCTGAGGCAACTCTACAGACCCAAAATAATAACATTTCTTGGTTATATTTTGTCATTTTAGTTTTTTACTATCCTATTATGCAAAAAAAATTAGCTTTTCCCCACTGATTTCAATACAGAAAAATATTTTGTCTGCCAAAGATGGTAAAAATGAGCTATCATTTCTTTCATCATTTCAATCTATCTGAAATACTATTAAACCTGTGTTGTTTTTCTTGAAATTGTGACTCTCTCATTTAGGGTCATGAACATGCATACACAGTTTCAACACGCTGATGCATTGTGACATGTACATACAGAAATTTGTATACGTTTGTGATGTTCACGGGTCAATTTGACCCGCATAGGCAGCCATTCAAACGCAACTGTACAGACACAAAATAACAACAAACTCCTTTGTTGCATGTCAACTCTAGTCCTGAAGTGCCTCCTAGTGCCAGCGTCTTGATGAATTTAACAACTTTTGATTTTCAAAGTTTGTGAAAACAAAATGGTTTAACCTTTTAACTGCAATTCCCATCTTTTGAGCATAGACAAATTACTTTTCCAGCTAAAATTTTTTATAACTCTTGAATACTTCAGAGCACAGACTTAAGTTTGGTATCTTTTTAAAGGTGAAACTTCACAGATTATTGTAGAAGTTATAACAGAAAAAAAACAACAGAAGAAAAACATTTATAAAAGTAAATTTATAAAAAGTTACAGAAGTTTAAATTTATGAAAATGTAAAATATAAAAATATATATTTTCAAAACATGTTTACCTCCAGATCTTTAAGAAAATCAAAGCCAAATATCAGAACAAGTTTTGTGCCAAATTTTAGATTGATATCTCAAAAAATGAACTTTTAAGTAAGAGTTTGTGGGCACAGTACCAAACATTTCCACTAGATGATATCCAGGGACTCCTGATTTCCATTTATTGTTTGAGTGATCTGAACCACATATTTCCATCATTTTCAAAATATTTATGAAGTAGACAACCTATTCAGAAATAGATTGGGTAGTAACTTTAATATTTGATTTGAATTCAATCTCTAATACACATAAATCATACATATAGAACAAGAGTGTGTTTGGCACCACATCAAAAATGGAGAATCAATCTCTATTTATCTATTGCTCTCTCATTTCTTTGAAAAACAGTCACCAAATATGAAAACTAGAGTCTGAAACCTTTCAAACGATACATAGTTTGTCAAGATTACTTTAGATTTAGACCAAGATATTATCGTCAAAAAAAGTGTAATCTCAAACATTCCACAGGTGTGGGGGAGGGGCAGTCAAAAATAGTGGTTAAAAACATTTTTATAAATCATAAATTCAGAGATTTATTCTTTGTAACGTGTGAAAAGTTGATATTAAAAGTTAATTAATTGTACTTTTTTTTTGTATGTTTTTGGATTGTATGTTTTTTTTTTCATATAGTAATTTTTGTGAAGTTACATTGAATCCAATACGGGTCAATTTGACCCGGACTGTACAGGAAGTAACCTGTTTTTGAACAGTACATGAGGGTTAATATTAAAAACAACTCACAAGTGCACCGACGCGTTGCGGCTAACAAGCCTTCATCAGGGTTTCAAACTACAAACACACTCAAAGTCCATTTAAACAATCAATTCTTCACATGACAGTCACCTGATTAAAAAAATACTTTAGAGAATTCATTTTCGTAAATATACTTCTTTCATAAATACTCTTTATTAGTTAAACTTACATTTTTCCCCTCAGCCCTAGAGTATCAGCTCAATTTTGAATCAGATTCATGTCTGAGAAACCACTTGTAAGAAATTTGATCTGTGATTTAGTCTTTTATTTGGTCAAGTTCTATCACTCACACCAGTGGAGAAATTAGCTAATGTAATGCTGTCATGTTAAATACCTTTAAAATGAAATACCTTTTGGTAGATGATGGTTTTTTCTCACGTAAGTTTGGTCTTTCACCTTTCGATTGGTTGCTCTTCACAGACACAGAGCCATACACAACTGAGCCTGATCTGTCACTAATGACACAAACAGAAGAAGGTGTGTTGTTTGATTCAGGTCTCAAGTTCAATAAACAAATTAATTCTGTTGTTAAATCCAGTTTTTATCATTTACGATGTCTCGCAAAAGTCAAATCTGTTCTTACCTTAAAGAACTTTGAAAAAGTTATCCATGCATTTATTACTTCACGCCTTGATTATTGCAATTCACTTTATTATGGTGTAAATCAATCATCCATCGGGCGTCTTCAAATGGTACAAAATGCTGCAGCCAGGCTGCTGACTGACAGTCGAAAATTTGATCACATCTCTCCCATCTTAACTTCTCTGCATTGGCTACCAGTCAAACTGAGAATAGATTTTAAAATTCTAGTTTTTGTTTCTAAAGCGTTACATGGCCTAGCACCAGCGTATCTTTCTGACATTTTACATGATCACAATCCTTCTAGGTCACTTAGATCAGGCAGCCTTGGATTGCTCTCTGTGTGTAGATCGAGGTTAAAACATCGTGGAGACCGAGCTTTTGTGACAGTAGGCCCCAAACTCTGGAACAGCCTACCGGTTTCGATCCGAATGGTGTCATCACTTTCCTCTTTTAAATCAAAACTTAAAACACATTTGCTTAGTGTGGATTTCTAATTTATTATTATTATTTTTTTTTTTTAGATATTATCATTTGTATCTTTAGTTGACTTATATTATCTGTACAGCACTTTAGTCAACCCTGGGTTGTTTTGAAATGTGCTTTATAAATAAATAAATAATGAATGAATGAATACTTCCAATTTGAGGCCTTTTATTTAGTATTTTAATTATTGATGCACCGATCATAGCTGATTCCGAATCAGATTTTTTTAACTAGCAAATTGGCTGATTCTGATGCAGATTTTTTTAAAGCAAATTTATTTATTGGCTATTTGCTTTATAAAAATAAAAAAAACTTGCCTTAATCAAAAATATCTGTAAATTAGAGGCAACCACTGCATTTTAATCATAATCTAAACAAAGATGCTGCATACATGTTGCACGAGCAGTTGTTTTTTATTTGAATTAGGTTGTATAATTTCAATTCAATTATTACAATAATTTCAGGATTTAAAACAAAAACAGAATGTTCTGACTTTAGGTTTTATTTATTTTACTTATTTATTTTATTTTTTTGCTACATAAAACCATAGACTGTATAAAATAAAACACATCTGCTTGAAACAAAAACAGCAGGTCTGAATGAGGCGCAAATTCACTCTCTGACAGCAGGTGGCGCTTATGAACCAGCCACGATATATAGTTTCCTTAATTACCACTGTAAACAAAGCAGAGCTGCACTTTATTCGGAGGTAAGAGGAGATATGAAAATGCCACTGCCATCGAAACTTTTCTCAGGACAGTTCTCTTCAGTGATACAATAACATAACCCCATACCCCCAATTCACAATTTATATTTTCTTCCATCGTGAACACAGTGGGCTATTGTTATCTGCCTGCTAACAGTCGTGATCGACGGGTTGGCGACTACTGCTCTAGACAGTAGTGAGTGTTTATTTATTTATTTACTTTCTTCTTAACACCATTCCAGCATCTAAGGCTATATTTATGGCGAGAACCAGTTAATCCATACACAAATCTTAGGCCCCGATCACACCGAACGCATTGTTTAGGTCTGAAAACGCGAGGCGCACCGCACTGCCTTCTTTTTGGTGACTTTTTAAAAAAGAGCAGTGCCACCGCTGCGGTTTTTTATGCTGCTAGGCAACCACCAAATCAGTTGACCTGTCAGTCAAATCAAAGGATTATAACAGGAGCGCTCTAAAATCGATGGTTTTTGCTGTTAAGTAAACTGTCATATTAGCAAAAACCTTAAAAATACAGCTCCGGGTAACCCGCGACAGACACCAAAAGTTTCTCCTCCATCATTGCAGTCTCCGGACTTTCTAAGCAATCGTAAACTTTCGTCACCACAACAGAAGGCCCGCCTCTCCATTCATTCGATTGGACAATGGAAAAAAACGCAAATGACGTCGGGTGCTTGAGTTGCTTTTTTATCCAACTTCAGGTTCTCAGAGCGCTTCTGCAAAAACGCGAGGCGCAGCAGGCGGCGGAAACGCAAACCCATCCAAGTTAGTGCGCACACATTAGGAGCAGTGAACACACATCACACACCCAGAGCAGTGGGCAGCCATTTTTGTTGTGATGCCCGGGGAGTAGTTGGGGTTTAGGTGCCTTGCTCAAGGGCATCTCAGTCGTGGTTCTTGAAGGTGGAAGAGAGTGTTGTTCATTCACTCCCCCCACCTACAACTCCTGTGGTATTGGGAATCAAACCTGCAACCTTTGGGTTACAAATCCAACTCCATAACCATTAGACCACAACTGCCCTGTCTGATACTGTATCTGCACATGCTCTCTCTCGTCCTGCACAGACATTATAGCAGTGGATTTGTACTTTTTGCAACTATGAATGGATGGATTGTAAGAACCTGCCCCGACCCAGATTCCAACTCTGTTGAACCCAAGATACTTCATGTACTTTGTGACTGCTATGCTGCAATAAACTTTTTCACTGAGATCTTCAATAGCGACCCCTAGAGGACGCAGTGTCTCGTTCCCTACTCAGGGAACCATGGTTACATAAGTAACCCGAGACGTTTGTCTTTCTTATATACAGTTTTTTTTGTCAGGGAACCCCCTCATTTAAAAAAATCTAAAAGAAATTTTAAGGAAAGAAGACAATTTTGTTTATTCAGTATTAGCAGGAGGAGTTCTTAAATCTATTCTGTACATTTTTGTTTAAGATTCTAAAGAAACTGAATCAACCCGACGTTGTGTGGTGGCAGAGCTGTATTGAAATTATTGTTTCTAAAGTAACTGAAACTTGGTGTTGGTCTCTTATAATTCTGTTAATTATCTAAAGAAATTGAATCAACCTAAAGTAGTGTGGTGGCAGAGCTGTATTAGACCTATTGTTTCTAAAGTAACAAAGTTGTAAGTTTCTAATGCAGTTGAAACGGGGTTGTTATAATTCTGAGAAATTCTAAAGTAACTAAATTGACGAGATGCAGTGTGGTCACTGAATTATTTCAAAACTGTTGTGTGTTATAGTGTAGTGTGCCCAACGCACCATAACGCTTAAAGCCAAAAGCAGTGGGGTTTTGCTCAACGTACTGTGGCTAAGTAAACTGTTTTTAGTGTAATTTCAGAGGCCCGACATAGTGTGGCTGTTTTATTCATTTGCATCCAAAGCACAGGAGCTGTGAATAATTAGACTAACACGTATCTTAAAGTCACTAGATAATGTTCCGTCAGTGAAGGAATAAAGCCTTTTGAATTGCTGAAGACAATTGAATTAGATAAGAGCTGATAGTTAAATACATCGCTAAGCATGGCTCAGTGGGAATGTTTGATGGGATAGAGAAGGTGGATGACCTTTACGAGTGGGCTATGTTTCAATTTAAAAATTGTCCCAAATGCCTAAAAACAAAGAGGGAAAAATTGCTAAAGCACTTCAAGCTTTTTTTGCCTCATACAAGATAACTAAGAAAAGGTTAGAGGAAATGAAAACGCTCCGGTTATTGACGTAACCTCGGTTCCCTGAGATAAGTGAAGCGTTGAGTATGGGGTAAACTCCTGTTTACTCTGTTACTGAAGCCTGATTTGTTCACGTTTGTGTAATTGCACAAACCAAAAAGCAGGGACGACGTGTAAGTCCAGTTCTCCTAAGTCGAACTAAGTTCTCCTAAGTCGGCTCGCAGCACCATTTCATCAGAATCATTCAACTGAAGCGACAGTCATCGATTCGCGTGCAGCTTATAGCACAGCAAGTGACAGTGCTTGTTCCCTTATTTCAGGGAACCGAGGTTACGTCAGTAACCGAAGTGTTCCCTTTTAAATGTTCACTTCACGTTGTGTATGGGGATCAAATCCAATCATGCCGTGCTACGAGCAGAAGCAGACTAAGCCGCACTGCGAGCCCAGTTCTGGAGAACTTAAGTTAAGGGCCCCTAGAGAACACGAGCCAAGTGAGTCCCGAGCATAGCTGAGGACTTTTGGACATAGCTATTTGCACCGTAGGGAGAAATAAGCAGGTTAAGCCGATAAAATCTGTGCCTGGAGAGCAGGGACATCTGGGCTGCAAAATTTGGCAAACGTGGACAGTGTCGACCAGCCGGTGGTGAGAGGTGAGGAATCAGCCTAGAAATACACAGAAGGATCTTGTCAATGATCTCGAGGCAGCTGGGATCAGTCACAAAGGACTAAAATCCTGCAGTGCCAGCAAGGTCCCCCTGCTCAAGAAACCACATGTACAGGCCCGTCTGAAGTTTGCCAAAGAACATCTGAATGATTCAGAGGAGAACTGGATGAAAGTGTTGTGGTCAGATGAGACCAAAATTGAGCTCTTTGGCATTAACTCAACTCGCCGTGTTTGGAGGAGGAGGAATGCTGCCTATTACCCCAAGAACACCATCCCCATGTCAAACATGGGGGTGGAAACATTATGCTTTGGGGGTGTTTTTCTGCTAAGGGGACAGGACAACTGCACCGCATCAAAGGGACGATGGACGGGGCCATGTACCACCAAATCTTGGGTGAGAAGCTCCTTCCCTCAGCCAGGGCATTGAAAATGGGTCGTGGATGGGTATTCTAGCATGACAATGACCCACAACACACGGCCAAGGCAACAAAGGAGGGGTTCAAGAAGAAGCACATTAAGGTCCTGGAGTGGCCTAGCCAGTCTCCAGACCTTAATCCCATAGAAAATATGTGGAGGGAGCTGAAGGTTCAAGTTGCCAAATATCAGCCTCGAAAGGAGAGGATCTGCAAAGAGGAGTGGGACAAAATCCTTCCTGAGATGTGTGCAAACCTGGTGGCCAACTACAAGAAATGTCTGACCTCTGTGATTGCCAACAAGGGTTTTGCCACCAAGTACTAACTCATGTTTTGCGAAGGGTTCAAATACTTATTTCACTCCTTAAAATGCAAATCAATTTATAACTTTTTTGAAATGCGGTTTTCAAATTTTTTTTGCTGTTATTATGTCTTTCACTGTTCAAATAAACCTCCCACTAAAATTATAGACTGATCAATTCTTTGTCAGTGGGCAAATGAACAAAATTAGCAGGGGATTAAATATTTTTTTTATCTCACTGTATATATATATATATATATATATATATATATATATATATATATATATTGAGACATACACACACAAGGGACATGTTTTAA